TCTATAATCACGCTGTGGTGCAGGGTCAGAGGGTTGTGGCTGAGTGTCGGAGCTCAGTCACCCTGTGTTAATCTGTGTGGGGAATGTGAAATGGAGCAGTTTGTCAAATGTGTACCAAGTTACACAAGAGTTCAGACTGGTACTTGTCTGTCATACATCCCAGTGTCACCAGGGTGGATCCATTGGGAGGTTAAACAAGTTTTCCCAAGTTTCAACTGGTTTTCCTAATCCAGTGGGTCATTTTTTTTATTTTTTTTATTTTGAAGGGACAATGCACACCAATCAACAGTCAAACTGTAAGTGAGCCAGAGTTAGCCAGAGAGGCCAATTTTCATCTGCTTTTCGATATCATATAAACCCTTGTATGAGGACACCTTGATCCATTACAGCAGCTAAAGCCACTAGATTAAGAGATCCCTTTTAGACGATTTCACCTTTTTTAACCCAAGAGTGGGACCAGAGGATTTTTTTAGTGTCTAAAATTAAAGGAGTTCATATTCTGGGATGCATAAATGTGTTTGATAATTTTGGAGGGGATCTGTGACTTAGATTTTGATATTTCTAGTGTATACGTGTAGATACTGTTGGAGTGCTAGAGGAGAGATCAAGGAGTTAGCAATATCCTTAAGTGGCAAATGAACATCTACACCAAATTCCATAGCAGTTAGTCTTGTAGCTGCTGAGCTTTCTTGCACCACTGTGTCGGAGAGACAAACCGCTATCACCCTCCTTAGGCCCCACAGCTGGAGGAGGAGAAATCTATGGGGCAACGGACAACACCACCTGTTTTTGAATCTGAGCTGTGAAACAATTGAAATAGCAATGATATGTTGAGTGTGTTTACAGTGCCTTCTAGATAGCAGCCGCACATGCAGAAGCACACCCACACAAATGTGACAGGTGGGCGGTGTTGACTTCCAGCTAGTCTTGAATTGTTCTCTATGGCCTCAGGTAACTTCTTGTTTCAACCTGTTGAGTTAGCCAGGACTCTCTGGTCTCAAGTGCTGAAACATGTGTTGTGGTTGTTGAATTAGTTTGGCTGGCAGGTAGTGTCAAATCATTTCCAAATCTCCAAAGAAATGTATTTGATGTCCCTTTGAAAAAATAACTTCCTGCCTGTACAGAGAAACAAAAGACAAAGAGAAGTGGGTTTTTAATAATGTTTGGAGAAATAGCTTCCAGAGGAGAGACACAGACAAAGTGAAAAGCTGGGGAGGTGTGTTTTATTGTTGCCCTATAATACAGAGGTCTTAAAAATAACCACTTTTTTGGTGAGATCATTTATTTTCAATTTTGTGTTTAGCGGGAGGGGGGCATTGAAATACAGCATCAGTTTATAGAAAGAGGCATATTGAGTTACACTTAATCAAACACTTTTTGAAAATGCAGTAAAAGTAATGCTTTGGCAGTCTAGGATGCTTAATACCCGCTTGGCCAACTCCAAAACATATTTATCCATTAGGCGAAAAAATAAATCTGCCGAGGTCAGCTGTAATGCCGCTCCTTTTTTTCCGTCTTCTTCTTCTGGGTCTTTTTTTGTCCTGCTAGACTTCAATATTAAGTAATGAGCGAGAACAACAACTATAAAACAAATGTCCAAGTTCTCCATCCAATGGAAAATGTCTGTTCTTTCCAACCACTCTGTGTTCCAAGTCCACAGCACAGCTCAGTATGCAGACTCTTACCTGCTCTGAAACAACACACACACACACACACACACACACAGGCCAGGTTTGGGTATTAGTCAGGAATGCTTTGGTTCTACCTTACATATGTATTTAAAACACTGACATAACTGTGCTACATGTCACAGAATTCACAGAAAACCAGGATGAGGTCAGGGTCAAAGGTCAGCTCAGAGGTCTATTAATGGCCACTTATTATTGTTATTTGCTCAAGAAGGAAAATCGATCTTACTCTCGTATCCAAATCTGTTCCCCTCCACTGAGATGCTCTTCGGTGACCCACTCCATCATGATGTGACGCCAGTTGTATTTTTCTGAGCTGGTATGTGTGATCTGCCACAGGCCAACGCTATCTGCAACAATTGGGATGTCAATGATTTGTATTCATATTTTATTTTAATTCATCAAAAGGTTGGCGAAAGTAAACTTGACCCATGCTGTGAGTGTTTTTGATCTGGTATTTCTCTCAATGCTATGTGTGATCGGCCCACTACAGCAGCAGCTGCAGCCCATACAGTACGGCGAGTTCAGTGTGCTGAGATGCCACCAAGACGTTGGAAAGTTCAGCTATACTTCACGCCTGTGGCATCTGATCAAAATAAATGCGGTGGGGGTGGCATTTTGCGACACTGAATGCCTCCATTCCCATGATGGGCATTGAACGGAGTTGTAAGAGAAGGTATTAAATGAAGTACTCTGTTAATATTCTTAACGCTTCAAGGGTACTGGTATCGTCATTTTTTAAACGATGCTCAACTCTGTGTTTCAGTGATGTAGTGTCACGTGTGCTTGCTTTACCTTCTGACGAGTCTTACATTTCCCACTAAATGTCCTCGCCATATAGTGATTATTGTATCAATCGCAATGTGCCATTAGAATTTAACTGGGTGATATGCAACCTGCAAAAATAAATTGTATTTTCTGACAAAGTACCCATCTAAACATAAAATCTATTTTCAAACCTATTGCTTAAAATTCCCTGAAACTTGGATCAATATATATACATGTTTAATTCAATGACTCCTTGTCCCAATTTATATCCAAACTGACAGGAAGTGAATTATACTTTGCAGATAAAAAGGGTCCCTGTGGGTACTGTATAGTATGAGGACTATTTATCTTATGCATTATGAAATGAATGTGTCACCTGGGTGGTTGTAATGCGCTCTGATTCCTGCTCCTCCATAATCTCCCCTGTGTCCGAGGTTAAAGAATGTCCTAATTACAGCCATTTTAAAGGAGCGGGTGACGTCTTTTGATGTAATATTACCCTCCAATCCAATTAGCCCAACACTTGTCAACCTCACTCAGCAGTCATGGCCACCAGCCTGAAAGTTAGGCCCAGAAACCTTTCCTTTCTTCCTTTCAAAATTATAATGGCATGCCTCTGCTGATTAACCACACCGCTCTAACCCGTTCTATCTGCTTAAGTTTTATTTAGATGTGAAATACGTTTTCTGAAAAGATGGTTATAAATGAGAGCTTACCCTCAATTACTTCTGTCAGAGAAAATCTGTGGACTGTAAGGTCCCAAATAAAGGCTGATTCATTAGAATGATCTAATCATGATACAGCTACAAAACGTTTAATGTGAAACAGATAGAGGAAGTGTTGAGATGAATGGAAACAGACAACAGGGATGGTTCTTATAAAAGGTTTATTGGTACTAAGTGCAGACTGGTTGTAAAAGCAGGACTAAAGGCAGATAAGTTCAATTATACTTACAGAAGACCGGCTGTATGAAATAGTGAAGTAGTAAACAGATTGCATGCATCAGTACTGGCAGCATGCTGGTTTGTCAGCGATCAGGTTTTGCAGTGAGTTAAGGATTCCATCTAGTGGCCACATGGTGTCCTACACTTTCTTAGAAAGCCTCTTACAATCTGATGTTTCCACCTATGAGGAACTATGAGGAGCCATCTTAAATGTAATCATCATTAGGTAAGATGACCCTGATACTGCATAACTGATGCTGATAATGATAAATAAAGCACACCCTGTTTTATGGTCTGTTTGACTCTAAATGGAGCATCATTTACTAAATGAACATCATGCTGTATTGAAGAAGACTTGAAACTAGAGATTGAGACCATAACCTCATGTTTACAATGTTTAATGAGGGAATAAATCAAGAGAGAAGTAGAGTCATTTTCTCATAGACTTTATACAATCAGACTTATTTTGGCAAACAGAGGACTTGCCCCCTGATTGCCAGTAGAAAGAATGCAGGTTTAAGACACTTCAACATTGGCTTCACTTTTCAGAACCGGAGATTGCCGCCTGGCTCAGCCTGAAGGGAAAATCACCAGGTGGTGCAAGAGTGCAGCAAGAGAGAGAGGTGGCACAGGCTTTGGTAGGGTGAGGGGCTTAGTGGCAGGAGATATGGGGTTGAATGCTTAAGAGTTCTGCCCTGCACTATTGTGGCACTCTGTACCGATATTGCTGCTGCAGACCCTGAAACTTGATCTGGAGTTACTTGAGGCCAAAGTGAGAAGTACAAATAGAGACTATTGATACTTGGAAAATAGGTACAGAGAGCATCTTTTCATTTTGACAGACGGGCCAGCAGCCAGGGCTGAATGACGGTCTCTATAAATTAACATCCAACTACCTGCCTGTATACAGTAGAGCTGTACGCTATTTCAATGGCAGTCCAGTGGAGTGAACAGATTCAACCTTGTAAAATAATGATAATTTGTGACTCGTCTGCAATCCACAATACTGGGTCTGGCTAATCTCAATTATTTTATTTGGAATGGGGAATTTATTAGGGTCCGACCAAACTTTTTCTGCTAAGATTTCTGGGAAGGTTAGTTTCCATAACTGAGTAGATTTGGGAAAACCACTCTGAATTGAGATCAGTATTTTCTGATGTGCTGATTTTATGAAGTATGATTAAATAGGTATCTCCCACCTATTAAGAGGTTGGGAATTTCATTTCTACTTCTATTTATACTGAAATAAACACTGACACATGTATCATTTTGAAGGTTGCATATTACATATCAAGTGAAAAAGCAATTAAATTTGCAACAGGAGTTCACAGTTGAGTGTTTGCTCAAACTTAATTTCACATGCTGAATGAAATGTTATTCCTATGCTCCCTAAAAAGTGGAGCTTTTTTTATTGAAGAATGTCAACAGACATTCCGCAAAATTGAAAAAAAAAGATTAACGACAATAACAATGAAATGTAAATAAATAAGTAAATTCATTTTATACAAAAAAAAGTAATTGCGCTCCGTCTCTACACACATGAGAAGTGTTTTCCACCAATCCGCTCCCGTTCACTAGAACCGGAAGTTGTAAGCGATAACATTCTCTGAAACAACAACAGGCTTTCAGCAGCATTTCAGCAGCATTTCAGCAGAGGCGCTTGTGTCGTTGGATTTACGAGATGAAACACAACTCGAACGTCCCGGCTTTCCTCACCAAGCTGTGGACGCTTGTCGAGGATGCCGACACCAATGAGTTTATTAGCTGGAGCCAGGTAACGCTAGCGTTGCAATTGTCTACCTTTAGCTAGTTAGCACGCCAGTTCTAACAGCTAACGCAAAGCAGAGAGCCGACGTTAGCTAGGCAGTGAGATTAGCCCGGAAGTCAATGTAGCATTTCGCCACGCTAACAACAATGAACTATTAAGATTCAACAGCCACCGAGCTATCGGCGAGCATTAGCCGAAGCTAACTGTTAGCTAGCTAGTGGTTCATCTTCATCGTGTAACGGTAGCTTGCACGCTGGGCCAAATCCAGTCTGTGCGTCATGCTAGCATCAGTTCCTCCATGCTTTTTGGCCACTGAGTCCTTATAAAGCTATGTGTGAGCATGAAGTGAAGTGGCACTATGGAAATAGATCCAGTGGCCCACTGAGACGCTGTTCTGACTGTCATTGGTTGTTTCCAGGAGGGCAACAGTTTCCTTGTGTTGGACGAGCAGCACTTTGCCAAGGAGATCCTCCCCAAGTTCTTCAAGCACAACAACATGGCCAGTTTCATCAGGCAGCTGAACATGTGTAAGACTGCGTGTATCTACCTGTCGTGGTTTGTGATACATTTAGTTGGTAGTCATTGCTTTGCAGTTGTTTCTACTGGGAGAGGCTGTCTTATTCTGCCTTCACTTGGTCAGTCTGCAGCCACACTTAGTAAGCCAGATGACACACACACACACACACACACACACACACACACACACACACACACATACACACATGGTAAGTAGTGATACATAGCCCTGAAAACCTAACCCATAAAGGCTGAGAAGCGAGAAACTAGCCTGTTAGGTTATTGCCCTCGTACTGACTCACCTCTTAACCAAGTAAAGAAGTAGGGACAGGACCAGGCAGGGCTGCAACTAACAGTCATTGGCACTATCAAATAATCAGCAGGTACTTATTTTAATTGATCAAATATTTGTCGATACTATGTGAGAAAACGGCTGTTGTAATTTCCCACAGTCCAAGTTGATGTGGTCCGATAGCTTGTTTAATTCAGCCAACAGTCCAAAACCAAAATATACTCTGTTTACTGACATATAAGACAAAGGAGAGCATCAGACCCTAACATCGTGGATCTTTGTACCAGCAAATGTTTGACATTTTAACTGGAAAAGCACTACAGCAATTCAATCAATCAAGTGTTTTTTTCCCATCGATTAATCTACTAATCCTTGCAGCTGTAGAAGCAGCTCTGTTGAGGGTAAAACAGAGCTGCACGATGCATGGACGGAGGCCATGGTAACCACAGTAACTGCAATGCACAGTGTAAACATTGAATCAGCTGTTGCTCCGAGTTACTTCTGCGGTCATCAGCAGGACAGACTCTGTCGGGTGGTCCAGTGCAGAAAGTCTGGTTTGGTGTTAGATATGTGACTAATTATACCAAGTGAAAGAATATCTGTGTGTGTGTGTGTGTGTGTGTGTGTGTGTGTGTGTATACACACACACACACACACACACACACACACAGATATTGAACAGTTTTAATGTTATGGCACATAACTGAACTTGTCGCTTCCATCTTTGGAGCGTTGTAGTTTCACCACAGCCGACTTGCGTCATAATTGCATAGCTTAGTGACAGTGCAGTGGGATTCTTTGAGCTCCGTGGGTCTCTTTTCCTAAATCCTAGTGAATTCTCATTCACTTCTCTCCTTGACCTCATGACCTTTTCCATCGAGATCAAGGTATAGTGTTTAGGAAAAGACATTAGGGTGTTTATTTTTTTCTTTTAGACCACAGCCTAGGAGCCAGAGCAGGTTCTAGCAGTGGGACACCAGGCTGTGTTAGCTAGCAACGCAAATGTTTAAGCACTTGCTAACATTTAGCCAACAAGCCAGAGAAGGTAGTCAAGACTCTTGTGTACTGCTGTTGAGTGTAGCTTAGCCTCTCGCATACAAAACGATCACCTGACACATTGTAATCCCATTTGTTTGTGTGACTCTTCCTAGCGTGCTGCTAGCTAGCTCCTCACTTGTAGCTGCCTGCATTGCATGCTGGCTGTCCTCCCCTCTCTATGAATAGCTGAGAGACGGGGGCGGGGTCTCTCCGGGTTTCCCCTCGTGCACACGCAGACACCCTGCTCTCTCTTTCTGCTCTTACACCTCGTTTTACACCCGTGTCATACACACAGATACCGCAGACAAATTGGCTGGAGTGGGGCTATTTCTGGAAGTCAAGGTGTGTGACGATTTTGGGGCATTTTTTGTATATGCGTTTACATCTGTGTGTTCGTGTCCTTGTGCAGATGGATTCCGTAAAGTGATGCACATCGACACAGGCGTTGTGAAACAGGAGAGAGACGGCCCAGTGGAGTTTCAGCACCCCTACTTCAAACATGGACAGGACAACCTGCTGGAGAACATCAAAAGGAAGGTGGGGTCATCTCTATGTATTCTGCATGCTCACTGTGACACTTGCCAGAAGCCTCGTCATCGCTCTACATTCAGGACAGAGCTTCCGGGGTTAAGATGCTGCAAACACTAGATTTGATTGTAATTACTGTCCGTCAGGTTTCCAACACTCGGCCAGAGGACAACAAGATTCGACAGGATGACCTGAGCCAGATCTTGGCGAGTGTTCACAGCGTCCACAGCAAACAGGAGAACATCGACGTCAGGCTGGCAACACTCAAGAGGTGAGCGTGAAGCTCTGTGCAATATTACAGCTTCAACATTGCCGCCACAGAGAAGGAAAACACATTTCAGATGACTCGTCAGAAACCAGAAGTCCTGCAGTAGCTCTGACCGTTTTAAATTAAGCTACAGGAACTCAGAGGAGACAGGGTTGGTGTTGCAGACTGTAGATTAAACTTGTTTTTTGTTTTTGTTCAGGGAGAATGAAGCTCTGTGGAGGGAGATCTCAGATCTGCGACAGATACATGCCCACCAACAACAGCTCATCAAAAAGGTGAGCACTGCACCGGATGAACCCAGTGACTGAGTATTAACAGCTTGAGGTGGACTGTGTCCATTAGAAATATAAACACAGTTCATTTCTATTCAGTTCCCATGTTTACATTGTTGTGGCGTTGATTACTTACTTTAGAAAGGGAAGTCTAATGTCACCACACGCAGCAGGTCTCTGTTCAGTCTCAGAGACTCTTCTCTTTTCAGCTGATTCACTTCATCGTCACATTGGTGCAGAACAACCGCATCCTGAATTTAAAACGCAAAAGGTGAGTTCACACTGACAAGAAAAAGACCCCTTAATTTTTTGTAATTTTTACTGGAATGACCCCCATGAATAATCTAATATTTAAATCCTCAATGTTGTATTTTTGACCAACGACAGTAAACCAGCATAATGTAAACCCTCGTCTGTATGAACTTTAACTGTTGTTGTCCTTTTGATAGGCCACTTCTTATGAACAGCAATGGAAAGAAGCCCAAATACATTCATCAGATCTACGATGACAACGTGTGTGTGGACCAGGTCAGTAAACAGCAGAACCCAGGGACATAAACATGGGGAGTATCACCTATAGTGCACTCCTGATAGGATCGGTTACTCCCCACACTTCACTTTGTAAGCCCACGTGTTTTTTGTTGTCGCTTTTTAGAAGGCTGCTATTGAATGTGCGACGTGTTATATATGAATATTTGTGAAGTCCCGTGTGTTCCCGTTTAGACGTCTGTTAACAGTCTGAACGGCGTGAAGGGCTCCGAGGTATCGGATGACGTCGTCATCTGTGACCTGACCGAGAGTGACGCCGAGTCGGCAGCTGAGGTCGCAGAGGGGTCGCCCAGAGCCCACGAGCAAGGGTAAGACCAGTTACCCATAAGTCATCAGGTGACATTCACTCTGTTCTCCTGCTTTCAAACTGCCATTCATTTTGTGATTATGTCAATTCAGTATAACTCCTGGTTAAAAAAGACTTCTAATAGTCTTTCTTATGTCGGTGCATTGGTGAGTAACTCCATATATATATTATGTGCGTTCAACACGTTTAGTACTTCAAAGTACTACATTGGCCGCCACAAAACTTCATCGGTGTACCAGTTCTTAGAAAAAGAAGTAGATGAACTTCTGTGTGGACGTCAATGTTTGTTGATGTACTGATTGAGAATGTCCTTCGCTACAAAACTTTGAATAAGTTAACTTTAAAGGACCAGCCAGTGCATTAAATAGCCAGCAGTATCTCAATGAACACGTCCTCCTTCAGTGACATGGACATCGTGGAAGTCGAGCTGGACAGCTGTGCGTTGCTACCGGTTGAGACGGAGGTGAGCACCTCCAGCACAGACGACGTCAGACAGACGGAGGCTGGTGTGTCAGCGGCAGCAGCAGCAGACGACAGCAGTGGAGCGACCAGCAGCGCCCTGCAGCTCAATAAAGCCTCAAGCCTCAGTCTGGAGGACCCCGTCAAGCTGATGGACTCCATCCTGAGCGAGAACGGGGCGATGTCGCAGAACATCAGCCTGCTGGGCAAGTAAGTGCCGACCTAATCGTAATTCGTACAGAAACAGAAGCTCACTCCGAACGTTATTGCAGGCCTACTAGGCTCAGGAAGTATCCACTGATGCGTTATTGAGAGTGCTACCGTTGGACCAAAAGGCTTATTTTCTTCTTCCGTTTGGTTTAACAGCAGTTGGCGTCCATAAATGTTGCATTTCCGCCATCTACTGGAGAGCGCTGGGTCTTCCCTGCACTTGTGAATTTTGTGTGACACACAATGATCTGCTGATGTCACAAATATATTTCCATTTTAAAATGCTAAGCGGACGATTTCTCAAATGAATATAAGGATTGTGGAGGTTATTAAGCCATGCCAATGGGGATGTTTTTGTACAACTGTTTATTTACAATTGCTTGTGAGAATTAACGAGTCTCATGCTTCATGTATTTGTTGTGGAGTAGTTATTCTGTAGCAAAGTAACTAGTAACCAATGTATAATAAATGTCCACTGGTACGTCTGTCAGGGTTTCCATGTGGTGATACTACTTTAATATGTTCTACATGTTTATGAGAAGAAGAAGAAGAGTTGCTGGCTCCTGGTGGAACATGGTGTTTTGTGTGTGTCGTCAGGATGGAGCTGATGGACTATCTGGACAGTATTGACTGCAGTCTGGAGGACTTCCAGGCCATGCTTTATGGAAAACAGTTTGGCATGGACTTTGATGCCTTCGAGGTAAAATGACATCACTAACAAACTTAAAGACAATTCACCTGATCAACGACACATCTGATGGCTTTTATTTCAGGGCTGTGGTCCCCTGACTGTATTCATCCATAGAGGCAAATTACAACATTAGAACAGTTGGAGCAGACGAGGACAGTGCAGTAATGATTGAATACACTAAAGCACATCAGAAACACAGTACTCTGGAAAACAAAAGGTACCTACTTTATTAGTGTGACATTAGTCTCAACTGAACTTAAGAATTGATTTAACTCTGGATTCCTCCATCTGTTAGTGAGGGATCTCTTTACAGCCGCTGGAGACAGATGGAAGGATTTCAGTGAACCAATAACTCCGTCAATCTACATAAGGCCATTTCAATATTATTGATGAATCTATACTTTAATCCACCTGTTTTATGTTGAAGCTGGTTTCTTGTATTCATCATTCCCTCTCTGTGTGTTTTCAGGAGGGTGTGTCCTCCAAAGACAACACGGCACAGCTAAACCGAGGCAAAACAGAGGAAGTCAACACAGGTGAGCACAGGATACTCTCATACTCACACTGGACTTACCGTGCTTCTCATTTATAACCGTCAGGTACACTCAGAACGGGACCTGAAAGCGGCGTACGCCACTGCCCACACAGAAGGTGTGATCTATAAAACCAAACTTGTCGGGAGAATGTGCGCCCTCGTACAGAAACCTTGATACATGCATGCGCACGTTATGTAGACGGGGGAAATGTGACACACTTGGATGAAGTGTGTGAGTGGAATCATTATACGTGTGATGTAACTTACAGATCCACCTCATCAATCAAACCAGCAGTGTTTGTGCTGTGACTATTCCCTAAGCATCTTTCAATTGTCAGAGACGTAAAGCAACTCGAATCTTGAATCAAATTCTGCTCAATAATTCATTAGTGCCATCATCATCATCATCATCACGTTCCCCGCTCCCGGAGCGCAGAGAGAGCCAGAATACAAGCGCTCGTAGGCAGCTGATGAAATGATCTGAAATCCAAGATAACATCAGATCGCTTTAAAGAGCTGCAGAGCAGAGCTTCAGTGGTTCTCAGTAATATCACAACACTGTGCATATGTCACCAAGTACCAATTCAGTTTTCATGTCGTGTTTGTGTGTAAAATCAGTACAAATGTAAATATATATATATTTTTTTTTTTTTGTACGGTTTATTCAATAGGGACAGAGACAGTACAGAGAGAAACTAAAATCATCTATCCGATGCCACAATCGGAGTGGGTCTCCAGTGCGCCACGCTCTCTGCACACCTCACGGAGCACATCTTCATCACCTGCACATGTTGTGTAAATTAGCATTGTGTAAATAAAGCCAGGGATAACACTTCATATCCTCCAAGTCCTCATCATAATGCAGGCCAAGTTCCCCATAACAAAACATAAATAAATAGTGTTCACCCGTCAAACTTCCATTTTTAAATGATTCCCCTGGTTGGGGGGACACCACAGATTGATGCGATCATTTTGGAAGCAATCAGAACAGATGAGCCTAAATGTTGCGGTGACACTCATAATGTGTAATGCCTCATGATGGCTGCACGGGCACTGTTAGGACGATGCAAATAGAAGAATTAGGAGGGAACTTCCTTTCGTAGTTTCCCTGATAAGCAGCTCATTTCTCTGCATAAACATTCATGGGGCGCTCTGCATCGACCATTTATGGTTGCATGTGGCCGTGTATGTATATACAGCGTGGAGTAGCTGGAGGTGTGGTTGTTTAGGTCTTCTCCATACAACAAATAAGGACTCTTCCGGTGTCTTGTGTTCAGATAAGCAGTTGATCCAGTACACGTCTTGCCCTCTTCTGGCCATCCTGGATGGCTGCATTACTCACCCGGAGCTGGACCTGGGTCCCAGCAGCAGCAGCATGGGCTCCTATACCAGCCACCTCCAGGCCTCTTCCAACGCTGCTGCTTCTGTGGAGGCCGAGCCGCCCGCGGAGCTGCTGGACACCAGCCTGGAGTCGAAGCAGCGGACCCGCAGCTCCCTGATCCGCCTGGAGCCTCTGACGGAGGCGGAGGCCAGCGCCGAGTCGCTCTTCTACATGTGCGAACTGAGTCCCGCCGGAGCGGAGGGCGACGCCACCGCGCTGGACGGTTTGTGAGCGGGGAGGTGGAACCGGTAGGACAGGGATGTTGGTCCACCACAGGATACAGACAGTACTGACTATGGGCGTTAGTATTCCCTCACCTCTCTTGGGTGTGCATGTTGAGAAGCAGTAACGGAACTGAAGGAAGCACCAGGCTGCAGTCTGTCCCATGTACACATTTTTACATTTAAGACTTTTGCGTTTATGATGACAATTGAGTGACAAAAATAAGCCACATTCTCATCAAATATGATAGATGTTTAACAGCCTCTGGCAGGTTATTAGAACTTTGAACCTAGAAGATTAGAGTGAAAAACCCTGCACCACTTCTTACAGCCATGACTCGGTCAGGACAGAAGACACACACAATGTACACAGAGCTGAGTGTGTCCGCTCAAGTCTTATACATATCTTCAGATCATAATCACCGTGTTCTTCTGTATCAAGAGTAATCTCACTGTTGTCATAGGAACATCTGGACTTATTGGCAACATCACACTTCACCCAAAGCATGATGGAAAGTTAAGTACCAAAACATTCTAATCCAACATGGAAACGGAAAGAAAACCCATGAAAAATATCGTTGTTTTGTTTGATCAATAAATGTTTAGACTCTAAATGTCTCAACATGGTTCTTATACCTCCGGAACACTTCCTGTATCCACTCGTATACACACATTTACCTTGCTGTGTGTTTATTAACACACAAAGCACTTTACCTGCCTAAAGGTGTCTCATCCAAACAGTTCTACATGCGTAGTCCTGCTGCCCTTCATCCTGGGAATACGTAAACGCCGTGTAGCTCAGACTGGAGGGAAAAGCGAGCAGAAACGGATGAGGGGTCAAAGGGGTAAACCGACTTCACCGCCGTGTGTCTGAAAAGGGATGATAAGAGTACTTTATTTCCATGAATTAAATGTTTTCATAAACGCAATGCTCTCAAATGTAAAAACGGTTTATTGGTTTACACAAACTGTGGCTCGTGTAAGCACACGACACTCTCACCTGGATCCATCTTTCGTCTTCAGTAGCTTCACCGTCAGTAAAGCGTTGCATCACATCCGGTTCCACAAAGTCAGTGAGGCGGCGGCATCTTCACCAACATGTAACAACACGTTGAACCTTTTCTATGTTCTTTTGAAAAATGTATTTATTTCGATTTTTGTTTTCTTATGTTTTGCTACATTTCTGTTCACGAAGCTAGTACTCTGCAGAGAAGCAGCATTCCTTCTGACAGGGTTGTGTTCAGCCCTGCTCCTTTGAGTAGAACAAACGGTTAAAGCGTCAAGAGTCATTTCACAGTTTGCACATCACTTAGTGGGGGGGGATGGGACGGGACCCATTATATAGTAAAACAACTCTTCTCAACAACAGTTAAATATGCAGTGTTTAAGATGTATGGCCTAGTGTTGTAATTTTGACTGCTTCACCACATAGGACAACCGGTGTGAACTCCGAGCCCTGATCTCAGCTGTAAATAACTTCACTCTCATCGTGTTCAGTAGCTTAAGTATGTTCATGTTGTGGTTCAGGGAAAGTCCTCCCCCGTCTGTTGGCTGATATGGAAGCGCCAGTTTCCTCCGGTAGCTCCACGCTTTAGTTCTCAGACGCTGGTTATAGTTTACTCTCCATGGCCACAGGGGTCACGTGACTTCTCTGTGACCTGCCCGCTTCCCATGAGCTGTCTGTCATTGTTGCAAGCCTTGCAGTTAAAATAAAGCAAATGCTACAGTGTTCATTTGTCGTTCATTGCTTCTCATCAGGAGACTGAGACTGTTTCTATAATCTATAACCACGTGCAGAGTTAAACCAACAGCATCAAGTATTATGTGTGTGTATCCAAAGCCGGATGTACACTGAGTTGGCAGATCGTTAGATAAGTCTTGTTCGGACGATACCCTCTTTGAACTCGGCCTTCATTGTTAATCTTAACTACACACCTGTTTAAAGTTTCATGGCACTGAACAAGCTAGTTGGAGTTTGCATCCATGTCTTTCCAAAATGTCATCGCTTCATCATTTTGTAACACAGGAATTCTTGAGTGAGTTTTGTGAGGTCACAGTGACCACCGAAATCTATTCCCTTCATCCTTGAACCCAAGTGGACGTTTGTGCCACATATGATGAAATTCCCTTTAGGCAGACCTGACATGTTGCATCCATGAGGTTTGGATGGACATGAGGTTGCAGTGAATTTATGACCATTCAATTCAAATGAGGTAATCCTTCAGTGGACTTTTGTGCCAAATTTGAAGAACTTCCTCCAGGCGTTCCTGAGGGGTTGTGTTCACAAGAATGGGACGTGCGTGCTTATGAAGTGACAGGAGTAATAACAGCGACAGCTCCCGTCAGAGCGGATGCATGAAGTCATTAAAAAGGTCATGTAGTCATAATATAGTGAGTCAAAAAGAGTCATAGTATAGGATGTAATTATGTCATATGGTATAGGATGTCCAAAATAATCATGGTATAGTATGACGAAAAAAGAAGTCACAGTATATTATATATAAAAGTCACAAAAGTATGTCAAAATTAATTTAGTATATGACAAAATACATTTTTTTAAAAGTTATAGCATAGAATGTCAAAAAAATCAATAAGTCAAAGTACAGTATGACCAAAAATATAAGTTATTTCATCATATGTCCAATATAGCCATTGTATAAAAAAAAAGTCATCGTACAGCATGTCAAATGTAAAATAAGTCATCGCATAGTATGTCCAAAAAAGTTAAAAAAAAATAAAACTCATGTCGAAAAAATTTAGATTGAATTTGGCAAATTCATAACATGTGTCCACACTGTCCAAACATACTGCTGAGAGACGGTTACGGCGAGTGGGGGAAGAAACAAAACATGACTCCTTTTCCTTCAGTTTTATTAAACCAGTTACAATATAATTTTACATGTCAGGAGAGAAATCATATTAGGATAAAAGCACAGGTGAGACAATCACACCAATGCACACAATCACACGACGTGTGTGAGGAACTACATGCTAACTCTGAACACAACCAAATAATTTATGTAGAAGTTTTCAATTTTACATTTAAAAGTCAAAAATTCAAATCAGAAGCCACACAAAAACAGGAATGCTTTTGTTGTGAATGTGCAAGCTGCAGAGGACACTCGCAGCTGGTAGAGCTTCAACACACGACGGCAGATGACTAGAATACCACACACACACGACGCTACACAGCACTGCTCGCTCTCGCGTCTCAGCGCCACAGCTGGAGTACGCTCACACACACAACTGAATCCATCAGACAAGCGAAGCACTTTCATTTACGTGTAACAGCGTTTCCATATGTAATCCTGCAGTCAGTGTCGTTGGCCATCACCGTCCTCACACGAGCTTCAGTTACAGCTACTCTTCATGTCACATTAGGTTTGATAGGAAAGAAGCATGCAGCTCTGTCTTTAGAGAAAGAGAACGAAAAACCATCCGCTAGAAATACACAGGACGTATTTACAATGGCAAACTGCGGGGGGGGAACCACTACAACAGGCTGCTGAGGATTCACAATGACGTTGCGGCAGAGGAGCCGGGCTGCAGCCAGAGACGGAGCTGAGGCGGGACAATCAGAAGCCCGGACTACAGGGGACGAGCCCACAGCCCCCGAACCAAACAGCCCCCCCGCTCCTCTGCTGCAGCTGGAACTGATGCGGGGTGCTAGCTAGCTACTGTTTTTTTTTGTTGTTTTTTTACTGACTTTTTGCTGAAAGAAACACAGGTGAAGCAGAGCATGGATGTGTTTGTGTGAGCGGTGGGACGGGGCTTTCAGTCAAAGTCTCTGTTGACCAGGACCAGCGGAGCCACCAGCGTCCACACGTACAGGGCGATGCAGATCCAGCTGGAGGAGATCTTCACCCACACCGACGGCCACTTGCTGGTCATGGCCTGGTAGTTGGCGTCGGGGCTGCGGAGGGAAACAACAGCTGACAGATTTAGGCTCTGCGGCTATCGGGCTGTGTTCCAACAACTGTCAAATGAAATGCTCCAAAAAACAAACAAATGTAATAATTTAAAAAGATGAAATGATATGCAGTAATCTGATGTCCCTTATTGACCCCTTTACAGCAGACATCTGAAAACAAAAAATGTTAACTGCGATAATTCAAAAACTGTACAAGATATCAAAAAGCTGACAGATATGTGAATAGGTCAATAGGTCCTGTAACCTGTTCAAAGTTCAACTGAAGGCTGTAGCTGAACGTGTGTGGAAGAGGTTCAAGTTCAAACTGGAGCAGGCTTAAAAGGATTTGAAGATTCTCTTCATTGAGTTACATTGCAAAAAAACAAACTGGGTAAAAATAAAAATGTCTCGTTGTTACATGTTCGGTTGTCGGAATCCATATTAATAATAGCAGACTCAAGTTCTACAGAATTCTAACAGAAAGTGTTTGAAATTGATCAAACGCATTCGGCCGAGAGTCACCGATTAACACGGCCGCTCACTAAACCAAAACACCGTCTGCGTCTATGGCTGCTAGCTACTAAACGTGTTGACTAGCAGTGGACAGGTCGTGTTTGTAGCGCTCATTTTAAAACTCGATAAAGACAAAACTCTGACGTTCTGTATATGATCACAGAGAACATAGTAGGATTTATATATCTGGCCACTCATCACTAACACACAAATCTGGAAAGTTAGTTTGTTTAAGTTGCACAGCTTGACAATCTATTGCACTCCGCCGTACTTAAGTTGCTAAACTGCTTGTACACATTTAAGTCGCCATCATTGTTCACAACCTGTAAAAGGGTCTATACTTGAGATTATGTGATTTCTTTGATAGTTTACTTACTATATTACTTTGATTGAACTTGATATGTATCACTTATTAAACAGAGTTTGATAAGGATGCTTTAACCTTCATTTGTTGTCTGAATCCATCCGCAGTTCATTTCTTGACCACTTACTTCAAGTTAAAAATCTCTCAACTTTTCAGAAAAGCTCTGGTGACATCACTGTAGTGAATGGACGGGAAGCTTATTTTGGCCGTGTCCGTCTATCCCAAGCTTTATATTTCGGACACACACCATCATAACAAAGACCCAAAGTGTTGTGCTTTTGTTTCTGTACACCTCGTCTCGCCTTGCTCTAACGTTACGTCTGTCAGATTGAGCTCAAAGTGTCCCTTCCTCTGTGCCATGGGGCTCCACACTGTTGCGCTGGGTGACACGTTGCCTACCTGTACCAGTTGGTGAGCGTCATCATGATGTAGAGCGACGCCAGGAAGAGCATGAAGTGGAAGAAGGAGTAGGAGTAGGTGACGCCGTCCTTCTCGTTGTCCACGGCTCGGCCAGCACCGCTGCCCTCCTCGAAGCCGTCGGCCGTCGGCCCGTCCTCAATCAGGGCCGACTCGTCGCTGGTCAGAGTCAGCTTGTTCACCTGGGTGTTGGACGAGTTACGAATACTGATGGACGGACAGAGAGAGGAGAGAGGACATAGAGAACGTCAGCTGCCTTATCGAACAACAACACAAGGTGACAGACGGAGGCTGTTTCAGGCTGCAGCCTGCCCGTTGGTAATTAAACGGATTAGTCTCTTCACAAGTTGAAAGATGATAAACAAGGACCTCCTCACCTGGAGTAGAGGACACACATGAGGAAGAGGATCAATCCCACAATGCCCTGGGCATCCCACCACTGAACCACGTGGTCCTGACCTGCAGGACTGGTGCTGTTCAGCCCGATAATACCCAGAAGGCTCGGGTTGCATTTCCTGTCTGTGAGCCACAAGAAAATATGTTTAATTCATGCTGTGTGACTGAACTAGAGGTTGCCGCCTAGTTTCTACCAGATATGATAACAAACTTACATGCACCTAAGGAACCAGCTTATTGTCAGCTGTTTGCAGTGATGTGACGTTACATATTAGAGGAACACAGTCTCTATAAGCGCGGTAGGGGAGGAGAGAAACCTGATTTCCCCTGTTAGAGTAAAGCAGCATGGAGATGTATGTGATCCTACCAGGCTCATTGGTCATGGCAGACCAGGTCAGGTACATGGTGTACAGGGTGACCAGGGAGGACTGCAGCAGGCCAGACCGGGGCTGGGACTCCTTCACACAGAGAAAGGCAAGCATTCGTAGGAAAATCAATCCAAGACCAACTCACAAGTAAAAAGTACTCGGCGCGCATCCGCTGAGCATCACGGAGGGAATAGCGCACGACTTATTCTGTGCTTTAAGTCCCAGACATGAATGCAAACCTGGATCGGAGGCAGGATGGACAGGACGGAGGCAGCCACGCACAGCAGCATGTTGATGCTGATGAAGACCTTGTTCTCGGTGCAGCCGTCGGAGTGGGTGTAGTAGACATAGAACATGACCAGAGACACCAGAGACAACAGGTAGTTCACCGCGGTGACCGACAGCAGAGCTGTGTACACAAAATAGCAAGGTAGGCATTTTTTTTTTTAAAAAGGTAGTTATTGATCACGTTTTTCTCTGTGACACAAAGCCATTATAATAACACTGTCACCGTACCTGCATACCAGCAGCGAGAGTTTCCCTCCTCCATCTTCTCCACCCAGGACTCATTCCAGGAGTGGGCGAAGTCGATGAGTAGAACCAGCTGGATGAGGATGAAGCAGAAGGCTCCGGCCATGCCGATGTAGAACCACACTGTGGGAGACGGAGAGCGAGGTCAGGTTGCCATTATGAATCACTTATGATGTCATACGCAGACTAATCCCAATGAGAACTGATATCTGCAGTCTTGATCTACCATCACATAGGGACATTTTTTGCATGTATCATCAACCTTCTTGGTTTATGTCTAGAACACAACTAGTTTTTCGTGTTATCATATTTTCCGGGAAACAGGAAGAATGGATTCCTAGGATTAAGGCCTTGTACAGACAGTTGCGTGCCACGTTTCATTTGAGAGGAGAAAGACGATAACAGACAAGAACGGTTACCAGTTGTGAAGGGACCTTCTGAGATGAAGAACGATCCGATAGTGATGCCAGCAGCTGCAGCAAACTTAAAGAACCAAAACCTGGAAGCGAGAGGTTTTTGTTTTTATCAATTGTTGCACAGATTAGGGCTGAAATGATCAGTGTGTCACCAGTGGTTGGGCGCTGACTCACCCGTTGTGCAGCGCAGCTCGGGGGTCGTGGCTGCTTCTGACTTTGATCATGAGCACAGAGAAGAGCAGGAAGAACATGGCCATGCCGAAGCAAACGCGGTACACGGCCTTGTAGCCGACCAGCACGTCGCAGTTCACGTGACCCTCCACGCCGGGAATGGACGAGCCCGTCCCTCCTTCACAGAAACCTGGAATCTACAGCGGCACACGGGATGGAAGACATTTTAGGCCAAATCACAGACTTCATGTAACATTCTACTTATTTTCTAAAAATCCTGGTACGAAAATGTAAATATAAGACGTGACCCAAATGCTTCAAAGCTTTGATTGTTGCCATGGTAATCGGCTTCCATATCAGTTTTCAAATGCAGGGTTTTGTTATTATCATTATTACTATTATATACGAGTTACACCAAAAATCCCAAATAGCGCATAAAATAAGGAATAGTAATCACACATTAATTATTATGAGTTATTCTCAGCGCCTGTGGCCCGAGCTCTCAACCAAGCCAGGTCTTTCATTTATTGTGCTGACATCGGCTATATTCTATTCATGTATTAATTATATTTAAAGGCCTACATATGACCTCATTAGTTTTCATTGGCTATCATTTTTTTTTGCACATTTTGCAGCCATTTGCGTTTCAATGAAAAGGGGAAATTTCAAATGTTTGTCCTCTTCTCTATTAGATACTAACAGCACAGTAAAGGACAATAGCAGTACACAATAACTGCAAGTTTGAGGAAAGTGTGCCAGCTTGTGTTTTCCTTGTTACTCTCGGTTGTTTTGTCATTTTGTAAATGCTTTTTCCTGCTAAACAGCTTATTTTCAAGATTTTAAAATGGTGCTTTTGTGTGATTCTTAGCTAAGAATGTCTTTGGTGGAGGACAGCTCTACGCAGAATAATCTTTAAAATAGGTACACCGAGGTGGCAAATGACCAAATATCATTTCAAAGCACCTGTGAACCATTGTTGCATGCCAGTACAAGGTACTAAACAAATAGAATTAATTGTGTATTATCTTCGTTGTAATATACCTTTAAGTAAAATGATAAAAAAACAAACGCTCCTTCACAATAAAAGCAACTACTAACCACCACATTTAGCAAATAAAGCAAACACGATAGGCTTCCAGCACTAGTTGTTCTTGAACCTAACAGCAGCAATGTGAGAAGTCGTTCATATGCTATTCCTTCCCTGCACTGTAATAATGAATAGTTGCATTTCATACCTTCTTGAGCTGACCCTCCATGCCGGGCATCAACATAATGCAGGCGAGGCCCACTCCCAGCAGCAGGAAGAAGGCATAGATGAGGCGAGTCACTGTGGAGTTATTTCCACCGGGGCAGCATCGACACAGCAGGCAGGGGGCGCTGCCGCACAAGCACGGGATCTGCACACAAACCAGCCTTGCTATTAATTACCTAGTCATTAATCCTATTACTGGACGGAGAGATACTCACTCACTCACTCACTCTCTCTCTCTCTCCCTCTCTCCCTCTCTCTCTGTTGCTGTCTGTCTGCACATGTCGCAACTAGCGGATACCTGACCCCTGTTTACATGGCCGCAGTGTTGCAACAGCTAGCTTTGACGTTACAGCCCCGGCTGCTCATTGACATCATCGACATGTTTGTTTACAATGTTCAACCAACATAGAGACACCAAATACACGTCAAAATACTGTAAAGTACCAGTAATGCTCATTTAGCTGAGCAACAACAGAGCGGTTCGCCTAACATTAGCTTAAACATCGAGCTCGACGTGTTTTGGGGTTATTATTTAGGTTAATGTTAGTCAGCTGGGTTCCAAACAAAGGCAGACATCATGTAACTTAGCCCTACAGTTAGCTTACACAACGTCAAGAGCCGATAAACCCCACCAATGTGATTAACTATAGCTTCGTATTAGCATTATATAATAACAGCTAGTGAATGCTAACTAGCTATGTCGGGTTTATTTATGTCCGTCTGCGCCGCAGTTGATCAGCGCGACGGCCTGCTGCCGTCTGTGTTATTGCGCAGTCATGACAGCACTTGTTTGAAGTGCGAGCAGCAAATAACAGCGATAACACATCCACTGCTTTCACTGTCAACGGTTTTTAAAACACCAAAGACGTCTGTAACTTACCCAGCTCGCCATGGAGCACAATCCCAAAACGGCTCCCATGATGGCGGATGTTTTTCTTCTTTTCTAGTCGGTCGTTAGATGGCTGGTGCTTTCGTGCTCTCCCCAGAAGATGGATGATGCGCTCCCGCAGACTTCTACTTCTTCTTCTTCTTCTTCTTCTTCTTCTTCTCATAAAAGGTCTGGTAGTTTTGCTGCCCCCATAGGACGACTGCAGCCAACACACTCCACTCAGTCTTTACCCACACACTGAACATGTATTCAGTCTGAGCGTGAGTGGGGACCCTCCCTTAAACAGCAGGAAACAAAAACCTCATCTCAGTGTTACATAAATACATACACAAAATCAACATTTTTGCAGCAATTCCAAGTGAAAAAAATAACTCAAAGTAGTGTATAGGATTTTTTAAGAAATACATTTGTGAAGTATTTAAAATTAAGTAAGTAAAATAGCAAAAACAATAGTCCTTGAGCTTCTGGACCATTATTCTATAAGACATTCTGGGCGTCCCACCAGGGGCCCAATGACACAAGCAAGCTGGAGTTAAGACAATAGCTGGAGAAACAATAGCTTACCTTTGGTTGTCCATAAGACTTTCTTACACCGTCTGGTATAACGTCTTCCAGAGGTCATCAGAGATTTCCCACACTTTGATGTAGAGCAAGTTTCATTCAGCAAAATCTTTAAACTCAATATTCTGCTATTTAGACTGTTCTTCCTGTTGGGATTGCCAAATTCAAGTGTTCAAAAGTACATTTTAAAATGTGACACTGCGCACAAAGCATGTGGGGCTGGGTGTTCTGACAAAGATGCTTTATTTTACAATAAGTAACATCATTGTAAGCACATTGTAGACAGCAACTCCGATGCACTACACCAAACAGGATACAAAAGGCCATTGAAAGAGGAGCGTCAAGAAAGTCCCTCGGAAATAATCCAGACAGGAGATTATATACAGTCATGAAGTCAACAAAGAAGCAGACCAAACCAAGTGAACAGCTTTATCTTCGGTCCGTTCAGTAACCCTGTTACGTCTCTCCTGTAAATCCACAGGCAAATGTATTGCTTCCAATATTAGGTTTCAAACAGAATTAGGACTTAAATAGGAAGAACAGACAAATAATACAAGGGATCAAATAATGCTCCTAAGCCTTGAGCACACTTTTCCTCTCATGAAACAACAGTCTCACGTTTCTCATGGTGTGCACACTGAGCAGTAAGAAGAACCAGTCAGTTGGATTTGAGCGGTAGAGTATCTCAGCACTCATATAAACCAATATTAGGGCAACATTCACACTGATGTTAATACATCTGAAAATGCACCATACGTGGACAACACGGTTCAGTTCACGGCAGTGATTTCAGATCGGCCGTCCACAGTGAAATGGCAAAAAAACGAGAACATAATTAAACATCTCCTGTCTTCTTCATTTTCATCTGGTAAACAGCAGTTTTGGTAAGGATACGGGTTTAATACAACGGCAGCATATCAAACCTCCATTCTGTCACTTCCTGATAACAGCCAAACCAACAACACAACAGTTTGCTCATGGTCATTCCTCGTCATGGTTAGCTCTACCTTACTTATTGTTGTACGTCTTCTGTGGCTCGGGAGGAGCTTCGTCAAGTCTGAGAAAATGACATCATAGTGATGTCATCAGGGTTATCTCGGTTTGGGATTGGAGAACAATAAAACGGCCGCATTACAAACAGGAGGTGTGGAGTTTGGAAGACTTGGGTGTTTACCAGGAAGGTTGGGTTTAATAGAGTTACCCAGTAGTTTTGATGATTTTATGATTATTTTTTGATGATGAGTCGTGTAATATTGTCTATTGCAATAATTTATGGGAATTTTACTTCCAGGGCCAGTGGCTGCATTTCCATTCATCTATTTCCAGATATCCATTTTTAATAAGTGCATAAAACACCTGAGTGTAAATGCAGATAATTAAATGCAAGAACCCACCCTGCCACCTGAACAGACCCCAAAATAAACTCTCGAAAGATTTTTCGTCAGTTCAATGATTTACTTTCTGTAAATTCTGTCTCAAGATGAAGGTAAATAGGCTACTGAATGCTATTTTTGGCGTAAAAGTAGTCAAACTTAGATATGACAAGACTAAATATATTTGTACCAGCCTACAAACCTTCAGTAGCTGATGCAATGTATTTACATACAGCGCAGCTTTGCGTGATACAAAGACGGTAAATGGATTTTATGAACTGCCATTCATCTTTCATTCCTCACTTGTGTCCCTGCTATGGAAGTATTAACTGACTCAAATCTGCGTATTACTTACTAAGCTCGTCATTGAATGTGAGCAGGTGAATTTATAAACACAGTAGATTCCAATCAGATCATAACAAAGTCAAATGAATACAGCTTTAACATATACACGTGTGAAGCACAAACATTCTTGACAGATATAAAAAAAGAAAGTAGATTAAATACAGTAAAAGTACAATACCATCTACTCACAGTCTTTGTTCACAGTGAACTCAACAGTTTCACTCACTTTGCTATTTGTTTTAACGACATTCTGCTTATTCATTTTTCAGATACATGTATTTGTCTTAACTCGGTCCCTGAGCAGGTGGAGACTTTGCTCACCAATACAGGCCATTAAATGATAAGCAGGACCTACCTGGGTGATCACCCAGCTGCCCTGCTCAGGAGACCAGGTACAGTCAGTATATTTCTCTGTATACAATTTTTTGGGCAGAAACTGGAGGCTGCAGCTGGCTCGCTGATTCACCAGCCTGACTGACTAAACTCCCTCCCAGATCTTAGGCGACGCGTACGGGAATCTCGTCCCCCGCCTCGGGACCCAGGCTGGTGTAGGTGACGGAGGGCTCCAGGACTCCAGCGCTGAGCGGAGGCCGGTCGGTGGCCTGCTGGCCGCCCGCGTTCCTGAACTGCTTGTAGACTCGCGGGTCCTGAGCAACGTAGGTGGACGAGGTGGCGTAAAGGACCAGGCCCAAGATAATGATGAAGAACGACAACAAATAGAGGGCCGAGAACTGCAACACAGAGACAGACTCAAACATAGGAGCTGTATTTCTACACTTCTGCTGGTTTAAATCCTATCTTCTCCCTATACATCAGTGTGTAAGGATCAATGACATGGAGACATGATGTCGGTGTCCCCCAGGGATCTATTGTAGGCCCACTCCTCTTCAGCATATGCATTCATGATCTGCCTTTAGCATGTATTGCGGATGATGTTCAAATATAAGCGTACATTGTTTGTGTATCAGCAGATAGTGTCATCTTAGCCATGTCTCTCTGCTTTAAACAAGGTATGCATGTTGTGGCAAAAGCAAACCTAACCTAATGAAGCCCTATCTGTCATAGCCTTTGGGACTGGTATAAACCTGGAGCCTCATTACAGAAAAACATCTTGACTTAAGTTTCAAAGACAAATCCTATCTTCCTAGTTCCTAAAGTCATGGGTGTGTCCCATCCTATCTCAGACCTCCTAGTTTATCATAACCTCAGAAATCCTAACTATAACTGTACATTTGATTATTTGATCGGCACTCGTCCTGTCATGCTTGTATCTTTGATTCAGAATGAGAGTCTTGGCAGACGGGAATTTCAAAGCCACAACATACGGTTTGATTTGTCTTTCAATCAATATATTTCAGTGTTCTTGTTGTTCCCCGTCTTTATTCTAGTTGCCATTATGTTACAGACCTAACAACAATTCTGCTGACATTTTTGGCAGATATTTTGAATTTAGGACAGGGTCTATTTATGCCATCCTAACTTAGGATTCCTAACTTGGGAAATCCCTACGGTAGGACGCTTCTGTAAAAGTTAAATTCCTATCCTGAGATAAGATAGGATTTGTGGTCAAAAAGATCAAAATCGATGCAGCAGAATGACGGATATTGTCTTCTTTGTTCCACACATTCTTTTTCCTTGTCAAAACCTGGCACCTACATCGCCCACCATGCAACTAACACTTTGGTCGCAGATTCGGATGTCTGGGCATCTTTGGACCTGCATATCTCCAAAATGAAAACTTCCTGGCAGTTTGCTCTTACCTTGTAGTGAAAGAGGAAGAGGCCACAGAAGAAGCTGTACAGGTCGGCTGTCAGCAGAGAGAGATTGACTGAGGTGGCACTTGTTCTCTTTATCACCAACGGCATGAAGCTGTACAGGCCGAACATGAAGGCACTGAAACTAATGTACAGAAGACCTGCAGACACACAGAGGGAGCAAATGATTCGACCAGTTACTGTCATTACATTTTACTTACGTACTCACTTGTGTGTATGAATCCACGTTGTGTATGTCTGTGTTTCCTGATGTATGTGCATTCTCACCTATCTGCCAGTCCCAGGGTACCCTCAGCAGCTCCTTGTGTTCCATGATGGCCCTGCAACAGAGATTAACCTCTGATGGCCATTTCCACGCTCAATTTTGTCTCATAAGATGTTGCAGCAATTCTTGGGGTTGATACCATTTGATACACAGATTTTGTGCAAAATGTAACAATTTTTGAACACTCAAACAGTTATAAAAAAAGGATCACAAATCCCTCCAATCTACCTCACTAATACACCAAGACTTCGAGGAACTCCATAGAAAATTCCATGCTGTGATTTTGTGTCTAAAACGTTTGACATTAGGAGATTTCTGCACAAGCAAACGGGCAATTGGATGACAAGAACTTCTGTTGTGGAAACTGATCAGAAACCGCCTCATTGTCAATATATCGAGGAAAGCCATACAGACAATTTCAAGACTGTCTAGGGACTCCAGTATGCAGATATAAGTTAACATGACGTCTAGCTTTAAACTCAACGTTGTACTTCCGTACAGTACTGTTAGTTAATTACTTTCCACCACTGCCCAGCTGTCATGAGGTGTATCACTCCCCATTACACACGCAAACTCACAGCTGGATGCCGCTGAAGAAGGATCCGAAGAGTCCCATCATGCCGAGGAACTCCACGCGGCTCAGGTTCTTCACGATGAACTCCTCACAGACGTTGGAGATCCCGTAGAGCGTCGCTCCACCCAGGACCAAGAGGTCCCCAAACAGCTTCTGCTCTCCTGATTGATGAGGGAGAACGAAGATGGGGAAAGAGACAAACGTGAGCGAGAATGCAAGTCCAACAAAACCTGGCAACCTCCACATGTACCTGCAACCTGGCGTGCCGTGTATGGTCAAGAACGCGTTGGGGCACTCACCAAATCCTTGCTGCCGACCAAGCAGGATGTCAGCTCCCACCATGCAGCCGACACCCAGCAGACAGAGTCCTGCCCCGACATAGTGGACGGCCTTGTACCTCACCAAAAGAAAGAACCAGGAGAGCAGCAGGACCACTGGGATGACAAAACAGTCCAACAGCTGAGCGGAAGGACGGACACACAGAGACAAACACATACAGGCATGGTGAGTTCTATTTATTTATGGTTTCAGTTAGTTGTTTTCTTCCTCCTGGGTGGCTTCATCACTTCAGACTGGTGACCAGTAAACAACAGCAGCAGTGGGCTGGGAAATCACCGAGCAACAATGGCCCCTCAGCCACAGCATTTAACCATTTAAGCCCCAACTTTTCTTTTTTTAAAACCCTAACACCATCATTCAATCTACAAATTTTCAACCGGCTCAGTGTCACTGCAGCACGGACAATACGTTGCAGCTGAGTTGTCAACATGCATTGACCCATTCAGAAAGTCCAATGTTCAAAGTCCAGCTGAGGCGGATGGAGATGCCGCTATAGTTCTGTAGGTATTTGGTTGTAAACCAAAGTATTTGATGAGGATCACTACTGTTACGTTTCATCATGAAGATAACATAAATGTCTGCCAAATGTCATAGCAATACATTGAATATTTGTTGTGATATTTCAGTTTGTACCAAGGTGGTAGACAGAGTGACACTGCCATTACTAAAGAAAAAAAGGAAAAAAATTAAATTGTACTCCATGATATTGATAAGGCTCCAAAGACACTGGATCCTACACTACCCACAATGCAATTCAATTGCAAAGTTTTTTGTTAGACCTCAGCATTTCTGGTAAAGGTCCATATCTTTGAAGCCCCACCCCCAGAGTGGTTATTTGGTCAGACTTGACAAAAGTTTTACACACACACACACACACACACACACACACACACACACACACACACA